ACACTATTTCATATACAAGCCAGAACACCACTGGCCTTCTTGGCCACCTGGACACACTTCTGCAGATCACAGAGGATTTCTGCAGATGGTAAAAGCCTACAGCGAAACAAAGAAAATGGTTAGAGACTGAATCTTAAATCTAATTTTACTTTCAGTGCCAGTGTACCTTACAGGCATGCTTTCTGGTAACAAAGCTGTAAGTTCTATAAGCAGTCTCCAAATACTTCAGCAGAGTAACAAATAATTAAAGAGAAGAATGTCAAGAAAAGAAAGAAAAAAATTTAGTAATGGGTCAGACAGACCTCGTTTTTCAAGTTATCTCTATGCAGTAATGCAGCGTTTCAGCAAAAGCAACCCACAAGGGTTTGCATTCAGAGAACTGCTTCCACGTTGACCTTAAGGTTAAAAAATGTTAACTACTGAAATGAAGTTGTTTCCAGTCAAAATATATAAATACTCCACAGGAATTCTAGTCTAATCACCATCATGCACAACACATATATTCAAGGAGAATTTCAGAACTATCTGACCACATAAGAACCATAATCACTGACAAAACAACATTTGTCCTTATTTCCAAGAAAGAAAATCACGGCAGAAGCGTTCTGGACTCACTCAGAGCTTTCAGCTTCCTTAGTCTGACAGTTTGCACTATCCACTTTAGCAGACATCTGCACGGGTTTGTTAAGACCTTTGGAAATTTTTAGCAAGTACTTTATTTTTCAAGTGAAGTTTGCCTAAAATGGCTGTGCTTGTCCTCTTGGAGAGGCAACAGGAGACTGAAGCCTGCAGAAGTTTCTGTCCCAGGGACTGGCCAGAAGATGGTGGCAGAGAGCAGCTCTGCTCCTTCTTCGATTTACCATGGTCATTACAATCCCCACGCTCCAAGGTCTTCTGGGCATTTTGTTGTGCTGCTACACAGCAGCCTCCTGACTTGTCCCACCAGCATATTCCTTATGTTTTCAGACAAGAAACCAAGTTCCAACCATTGCTCTAGCTACAGCTCACTCAGTGCTCTTCCAGTAGTGCACTGCAGGCATACTCACGCACTCTGAGAGCTACCACTCTCTCACCTCTGTTAAGGAACCAAATATCATGTCATCAGTTTTGGTAGTGATAAAAATCAGACATATTCTGGAGCCATTATTGCCTAAAATGTTAATGCAGTTTACTTTTTTTAAATGTGATCGATAGCTGAGAGAAAAGTGCCCATAAATTACTAAAGGCAAATACCATTCTATTAGCACTCAAGAGATTTTGCAACATTTGCCAGTCTGTTTTACTGGAAAAAAAATTAATTTGCTGAAAGCCTAGTTGTTTTGGTTTTTTTTTACCTGTCTTTGTCTTTCTCCGTAAAGGAGGGATATCTCTATCATGAGTCATTTTCAGAGATGTAATTCCGATGTACTCTGCCTATAGGTTTCAATTAATGTTCTACCTCACCATCAGTCTTTACATTGCATGTTTTATGAAATCATTAACTATTGTCATGTTTCTATTATGATACTATTAGGAAATAAAGAGACATATGTAAATGAAGTTGTAAAATAAATGTGCGACAGTTACTAGGAGCAACATCTGTGCACTATCATACATGTTTACACTAATTTTCTAAAGATTGTTCCATTCATTATGGAGCATTGTTACTTGCAGTGGCACAACCCTTATTTCCATGCATTTAGGGACTGAAGCAAAGAGAGGGTAAATGAGTGCCTAATCAATACCACTTTTCATTTTACTTCTAATGTGCTGCTTTTCCCTTTCTTTTCTTCATGCACAAATCCAAAAAAGATCCTGACGTTACAGTCATAAAATGTAATTCTTCTGCAGAAACACAGACAATAATGCTTTCTGTATTCAGGCGTATTGCATATTCTAATGGCATTTGGCTAAATTGAGTATGGATTTAACATCAAAGGCTTCATGAATTTTTCAAATGAGATATTAAAGTCAATATTTCAAGTGAAAGATATTTCAATTTAGTTGCATACACAACAATAAAAAACTTCTACAAGGCAGAGGTACTAGTGGCAGTGGCTGTATTAGCTCATTCAGGAAATTATTAGTTTATAAGAAAATCAAACAGAAGGTTGTGATATGGCAATGACGCTGAATAAATTAGACCAACTGATACGCACTAACGTACTTTATCTCTTGGAGTCTGAAGCAGAACTTGCCACTGGCATGTTCAGAGCTTCTAGCAGGGCTTTGTTTGGGGATCATTTTTATTTATTTTGGAAATTCAAATGATTAGCACCAAGATTTGCATTCAGAATCTCAGAAATCTACTTATTTTCATCTCTGAAAGGGCTAAGTATGCTGGAATGCAAGAAAACCTCTCAATGTTGTTTATTTTTTAATCTAAGTGCATTTTGCTTCAAATTTTCAATACTTATACAATGCTGCTTCTGCTTTCTGAGGGTTATTAAATGCTCAGACTCAGGGCCAGCAAAAAGTCCTCTGAACTCCAAAAACTTTGTGTTCTGGAAGAGATCAACTTGCAAACAATACAAATACAGGCACTGATGGATCATTTCCTTTCCTATTTTAAGTGCAGGGAATGTTGTAAAATGCCCTTTAAATCAGTAAAATGTTGTGATACCAAAGAGCACACACATTTGTATCCCCTAATGCTGCCTGAGAGAGTGAGTTACAGTGCGGGGACATGCAGTCCTTTAGGCATCCACAATCACAGTGACTTTGTGCCAGCAGAAGAACAAATATATAATTTGCTGAAATACAGGTAATAGCAATTATAAATAGATGTCAGTGAAGATACAGCAGCTTAGTATTAGTGTATTAATTAAGAATTGTAATTAATAAAAAAACCTGCCCTTGCAGCCATCCATTGCTGCTAACACTACAGACACGGACAGGTTTGCTGTGCATGGAACACTTCTACATTAACCCCAGCTGGTTCTTTTGAGTGCTCCTGAACACAGGTGGGAGAGCACATCCCTGTGGAAACCAGAGGAAAGCCACATAGTTCTAAAACTTTCATTACCAGGTAGTTTGGGCCACAACATGAACTTTATTACAAAAAAACTCTGATCCTAAAAGCATTTCCTTGAAACCAGTGGGATGTTTGACGCTGCAGCATTCACTTGCAACGTTTGTGCTTACTATGAGGGCATTTCAAGCACTCACAAGATCTAGGAAAGCTGGCTACAGCTAAATGTTAAGCTGCTAAGCCTATTTCTATTGTCCTTGGAGACTGCTGGACTTACAAGTGCTGCCCTGTTATTCAGAACTAAACAAAGCCAGCAGCATTGTGGGGGACACTTGAAGAGACTAACATACACCATCCAATGTTTAATTTATCTAGTTTGTACCCTGTGGGTCTTATGGTCCCGGACAGTTATCTGTTCACCCCTAGAGACCTTTCTGAATCCCAGCATTTAAAGCCTTATGGCATTTCCATAAAATGGAAAGTGCCACCATCTAAAATGCAATCAATTGGGGATAAATCAATCAAACCCTCAGAAACAGTACTCTCAGAAAAAGTATTTCTTGAGATAACAAAGATAAGGCAGAAGTTTTGTATGGTTAATAACATCCACTAATAACTAGAATTATATTTTCAAAATTGCCTCTGGGGCTGGGGAATACGGTTCCCTTTTCATCTGTTGTGAACTCTGGACATCTTCAAGATGGTTTTGAAAACTCCAGCTCACGCTTAATGAGTCAGCAGCATGCCCAAAACCTTGCAGTTGAAATTATCAAAACTTTGATCTTTTTTTGCTATGACTTAAAATGACACTGTTAAGATGAAAGATTCCCCCATGATCTCCATTCACTCTGAGAATCAGTGTTTAAGAAACGATCCTCTGAATTCATTAATTTAATATTTTCCCTTCTGATTATGGAGGTGTACATAAAGTTAAGAGCACTTCCCCTGTGAGTTTTATGTCAAAATGAGCACTCAAATGATTTTGTTAACTAAAAATGAATATTTGGAGCTAAGATCAGAAGAGGAGACCAAGCTGCTGGATTTGATCTTGGACATGCAAATGCTGTGCAAAAAAAAAAAAAAAAAAAAAAAAATCACATCTCATGCTGCACGTAGCTTTTGTGTTTGATGTATGTTGTTACCAAAAATACGTGGGTAGATTATTCACAGAAATGAGCTGAAGAGACTGTGCTACCTAAAACATGCTTTTGACTCTTTATTAACGGTGATAATCTGCACTGATCCGCATTATAATTCCACTGCAGATGTTGCTGACATTAAGATGTATGACAAGGAAACTACAAAATGAGCTGATTTGAGTAAGTGAATATTTTGCCTTAAGTCAACAATACATGCAGTGCAAAATGTCTTTCAAGGATTTTCAAGTTTTCTGCTGTGCTCTTCGCTATTATATGGGATTATTTATATTTATTTATATGTGATTGGCCATTTCACTAAGGGGGATGCAACGCCTTTGGGGCACTGTGTGGGATCATCTTTGTTACAGAGGAAGAATAATAGAGGGGGAATAGAGAGGGTGACAATCAAAATGCTATGACAGAAAGGTAGAAAATGAGTAGATGACCAGAGAAGAAGTAACTCCTGGACCACATAACATTGCAATTCTTTCTAATTTGTTATGAGTTCACATCATGAGCTCTCCATCTAGGTAGAAATAGGATACAAGCCTCATAAAAGATATTTTAGTCTTTACCTGAGAAATGCATTTATAATGCGAGTCTTACATGGTTCATAGCATTTATGAAAAGTTCTTTAGACGAGAGTGACAAAGCAGGAAATGACTTAAGAAAACACCTTAGTCAGTCAAAATAAAAATAAAAATGTGAGGGTAAGTCATCTGAAAAGCCTAAAAGGCAATCAAAAATCTAACTGCTTATGAGATATACCATGTCAAGTATAGGAACAAACTCATTACATAATATATAATACATTTCTCTCATAATGTGGACTACACAGATGCTTTCTCCATTAACTCCTTGCATATTTTGGAAAACGCATTAATGTTAATGAAGGCAAGAAGAAAACTTACGTGATTGCAGTAGTTTAGCAGTGAGCTCTGTGTGCTTGTCACCCACGTCCCTAAAAGAAAGAAATGTTACATGTCAAGAATGAGTCCAGTAATTATCTTCTAACATACGAGCAATGCCAACAACATTCTGGTAATGGCAGCATTAAATCTGGAAGTTTACCTTTTCAAATGAGAAAACATTTACAGACAAAATCTGGATATTTTTACTGTCTCCAGCCTCAGAGATCAGATATTGCTTAGCGTTGCGCCCAAAGCATTAAGTCACTGGTATCTATTTGCCACCAGAACAGAATTTCTAAATATTTCCCTAATACACTGAATAATTAATCCAACAAATGGGATGAAAAGCAAGGGCTACACCACTGAAAACAAGTAAGATGAAACAAACAAAAAAGTGACTTATTTTCCTAAATCTAAGATCATGAAATGTATTCCCTGCTCTCAGATATGACCACAAAACAACATAAACCCATAAAGGACCACAGTAATTCAAATACACTGTATTCATTATAAATCCCAAAATGCAGAGAAACATTTTAACTCAGCTGCTCACTCAATTATTTCTCTTACCTATAAAAACAAAGCAAAACATTGAAAACCCCAACATCTCACTTCCATATGGGAAGAGTGAAAGGGCAAACATCTGCTGCACAAGGGTAACCAAATGAAGATTTGTGCTAGAAATATAAATAGTACAAATTGGAAAAAATAGTTTAATAACAAAGTACTCCATGCAATTCCAAGGAAAATTAGGCAAACTATTGAAAAGGATTCAAGTGTACGTAATTCATTATATAGAATATTGTAGTGCTTGGCTAAAACTAGTGAGGAGTTCTTCACTTTAATGAGTACAGTGTTCACCCACAAATTAAAAATAAACAAATAAAAAAGATAAGAGTATGACCTCACTTACTGGCAGTCAGTCAAATTGCAATTTGTCCCAGGAGATCTGAAGCAACTTCCTTATAACACATGAAGAATTCATGCTTACTAAACTGATCTGTATAAAGCCTATTTTTTTTTTAGCTATGGCAATTGGTTGTTCCTTATCAAAACATTTGAGTTTATGTAAATGACAACTTAATGGTTAATTGAAACTGTAGCATGATGTTCAAAGCTAAATCACGCTCACTTAACTTCATACTATCAATACACCATCACTGAAAGACAGTAGATTTCTTTAAGCTGAGGGTTGTAGTACACAGCAAATAGTCTGATGCTAAGTGACCAATGTCACTGATGCACTAATAGCAAACTCTAATAGCTACCAAGAGCACATACACTACTATTACTCTAAAAATGGCAATTTTCATTAATCATACAATGGCATGTTTTTTCATTAGCAGCCAGCTGATAAAAATACAGATATATTGTCCTGAAAATCATAGAAATTACACTCAGCCATACTTTCAATAAGTTTTTTCTAAACCTTCTTTCCCCATTCAAATGCATTATTTCAGACTATGAATACTATTAGAGATGACAGTATAGAAAGGGACAAAAAAAAATCTGAATAAAATATTGAAGGACAAAAATTTTCTCCAAAACAAGATTACAGCTTCAGTTAGAGAATGGTTAAATCAATGCTATGCATCCTAGGACATTTCAAACTTAATCAGAAGAAACTAATTTGAATTTTTGACAAGGAAAGTTTGAAAATAGCTTGATGTACCATGGATAAACATCTGAATTTTTATTTACATGAACCCATACATCTACAAATCTACATGGAAAAAATTTATTTCTCAGAGGAGAGACCAACAGTCGAGACATTAAAGAATTTATTGTTCAAAACTGATTGAATTTCATGACAGTTAGATATCTGAAAATAAAAAGTTAAAATCCAAAATACAATTTCATCTCTGACCAGGGTCCTCAAAACATATAATTGCCAATTATATAATCAGGGCCTGAACTACAGGTATAGGTCAATCTAAAGATAAATTTTGAATACTTTCAGAAGGGAGGTGATGTGCGTTTTGTCAAGCTCCTAGTTACATAATTAGGCAAAAACTGGTAGTTATGACAGTTTTGGAAGGTGGTTGAGGCAGGCTGAAATTTCCAGCATGTGGAGGAATGACTGCTTTTTTACCTACGTTTCAGATACATATATGAAAGTTAAGAAAGGAGCGACTGTTTATTTTTGTCATTAGCCTGTCAGACATCAAAGAAGTGAAAAATCTCTGTGGCCTATATTTGATGTGTAGAAAGAGGTCAGCAGGTCTGAATTTGTGCTATTGTTCAATATTTGGAAATGCAGAAAAGATGCTACAAACAATAAAATGAATTTGGGGCATAGAATAAGAGATGGAGGTTGATATGAGATTTTTTTAGATTAGCTTGAAACATCCTGTCTTTCATTCCTTTTTTAAGGAAAATTTCTCATACAATAAAGAATTTCTTTTCAAATCTTGGATTATTTGTACGTAATGTAGTACCCTTGATCTTCAGTATTATTTATTGATCAATATTATTTTCTGTAATTATTTGCTGAATATCTAACTGTACATTTATTGATTCACAGCCGCCCATTCTGTGGGTCAGTTTTTAAAGCATTATTTCCTTTAAAACAACTTGACAGAGAATTACTACATTAACAGACTGGTTAATGCACTTCTTACATTTGTTCCTTTAAATTTGGTGCTGTACTTCATGATCTCAAAGAGATTCAATGTGCTTTTGAGACTACACCTTCTGACTATTGCTGTACTTATCCATACAGGCAACTGAAAAAAAGATCAACATCAGCTGATAAATTGGACAATTAATAGACAGACTTTTCAGTTAGACTGAGTTGAGTTAGACATGACACAAAATAATCTTGCTATCTGACAGACTTACTTACTATTCCTTTAATAGTCATTATTTGCCAGTGAATGTATACTCCATACAATAAGTTACACATTTATAGTTTTAATTTATGTACATATTTTTAAAGATTTTCTTGGAGAACAACATCTTGCAATGTACCGAATGCAGAATCAGGAACCAGGAGTTGTTTAGTTATAATTATACCCCTCCCTCCAGTATCAGGTTTCTGAGCCAGCTTCCTTAAGTGATCCACTTGCTGCATTTGTAAAATTAAGATATAAACACCTGCTTCCTTACCTAGAGAAAGTACTGGAAAACTATTAAACCTTCAGAACTGAAAACCAAGTCTGGCAAATTCATAACACATTTGGCAAGAAAGTATTGGAGAGTGCATCACAGTCCCAGTGTCTCTTTGGCACCCTATTGCAATTTGTCAGTATACCTTCCAATAGAAGTTTAGTCTCCATTTGACCTCTAAACCTGTAGACAGTTATGGTTGCTAAAGTGTAGTCTCAGAATTTGTCTCCCTGACTTCAGAAGGATTAATAAGATGCCTAAAGGTAAGGAAGTAAGCAAACGTTTGCAGAGAGAGAGTTACATTTCATGAAGAGCCAAGTGTGCCAATTGAAAATGTATAAATACAAAAATCATTACTAATTTGCTTCCATTAATAATGTTTTATACACTATATAATTAGTAGCAAATTAAATGCTTTATTTTAAGTCGTTTACATACTAATCTTATTTTCTCAAAAAGTAGAAACCAGCAGCCATTTCTCCTCTAATGTGACGCTGCTGTCACATATCTCAAAAACTTGAGCATAAGGGGCTTTTTTAAATTACCTCACTATGAAACATTTGATATAATACCCAAATAAAGTCAAATTAAAAGGTCTTTTGCTTAGTGGAGCAACAATAAATAGAAAAATAATCTCAAAGGTTTATTAATTCCAGGCAGTTTCATATTTGGTGGGTACACAGAAAAGTTTGCCCAACCATTTTAAAGATAGTGCTTGTATTGTTCATACAAATTACATGAAAATTACTCATATAGCTGAGAATGTTGTTAGATAATATACATAGGTTGTTGTCACAGTCAACACCATCTGTTACACATTTTTGCCAGCTATTAACAAGAGCCTACATGCCATGCTCATAAAAATCTGCATGGCCATCCCAAATGTGACTTGTCTCTCACACTGTCACCACTACTAAAACACAGCACCAACCACTTCATTGCACTCACATTCACTGTTTCATCTCCATAAACAGACAGCAAGTGCCATTTTTTCCTCATGGAAGAATTCACTGATATCCCCTTTGCTACACCTGCACTTCCGACGTCAGACGTCATTCTGTCAGAGTGCCCTCTGCTGCCATCTGTCATATGGCAAGAACACGTAATGGGATACTGGTGGGAAGGTTCAACCTCTGCTACCATCCCAATATCTGCCTCTGATGACGTTGTGGGTCAACATCATAAAACAAGAGGCACTATTTTCAGAGCAGTCCTTTGTAAAACTATCACAGTATCTCACAAAATGAATTGACTTTCTGTTTAAAAGAAAGTTTAAAAGTTTTGAAAGTCCTGCAAACACCTGTTGCAGACTCATTCTCTTAGAGATAACTCAGTGAACAAAAAAACAACTGATACCAGTGATGTGATCTGAAATTTGTGAAACAAGATGCAAGTCCTCACCAGGAGTTAACAGAAACTGGACTATACTGTTATTCCCGCAGTCTCATCTGAGCGTACATCATGCTCAGTCTGTCACATGTTGAAGCACAATGATATTTGTGTTAAGCTGGTACTGGTGCCCTCCTCTCCTTCTCCACACCTGAATAAAGAGTCAGCAAGTTATACCGTCACTCGCATCTCATTTGAAGCCCTCCTTTATTTCAAATACGTGACATCATGTCCACAGCAGAAGGATACAAGAGGCATGGATAAACACACATTTTGTAAGGTATGCAGCAACAAAGTTTTTCACTGCACTGATTCTCAGACAAAACAAACAAACAAACAAAAAAAAAAAGAAAGAATTTCTTCAAGCTCCAAAGCAGAGGAAAGTAGAAAGAAAAATTTCCACTTGCCCTGCCTTCCTTGATTTTTAAATGCTGATATCACCTACCACTACTGCAAACTTGTGTGACTCGTGTCAACTTTTCAAAGTTATGTCCATGACAAACACATCTATTAGAGTCAGGAAAGGAAAATCTAAAAAAATTATGACCTTTGA